ACACACACACACACACACACACACACACACACACACACACACACACACACACACACACACGTACGTTCATTTAGAGTGAGAGAGCAGCTTCAGCAACAGGGCCGGCGATGAAGGCCTGACAATACTCTGTTATAGGATTTCAATATTACGAGTCGTGTTCCGACAGTACCCGCCCCCCATCCCCCAGCACCCGGCACACAGCTACTCTAAACCGATAGTGTGTGTGTGTGTGTGTGTGTGTGTGTGTGTGTGTGTGTGTGTGTGTGTGTGTGTGTGTGTGTGTGTGTGTGCGCGCGCTAGCCTATTTCAACTCACCCAGTTGAGATTGCAGGGTTGAGCATCTACTCTTCCATTATGATGCCTTTCGAGCATGGCAGTGAATCCATTTCACTCGTTTTCAGTATCTACATTTAAAGATGTGTATGGAGGTGGGTTCCACAACTTCTTCATCCAGTTAATCCCACTTATTAACGACTCTGAGATTGAAAAAGTCCTTTCTGACAACCCTGTGACTCATCTGTGTTTCCAGTTTCCAATAATATCCTATCATTCTACTGTTAATTTGAACATTGTTTATATATGTATTTTGTGTTCTTAGTATCTTGTACGACGCTATCATGTCACATACTGCCCTCGTTATTTTGCTGACGTGTCCCTGTGGTGGCAGTTCTCCAGTTATGCCTTCTCTTTATCCTGTACTGTATGTGAGGTCTTCTTTCTCCCATATTTTATTTTCTTCTTTCCTATTCTCATAACATTGCATTTCTCAAGGTTAAAGTCTAGTAACCATTTCCCAGTCCATTTCTGGAGATTGCCTAGATCATCAAGTGATATATTCCAGTCTTTTTCAGTTGTAATTCGCCTCTATAAGCGTAGTATCTTCAGCAAACAGAGATAAGAATGAGGTTGTTAGATCCTTTACACACACACACACACACATATATATATATATATATATATATATATATATATATATATATATATATATATATATATATATATATATATATATATATATATATATATTATGAATGATGGACTAATTACACCACCTCGTCTAGGATTATTACATTACTATGCCATTAATTTCCATATGTGATGGAATATAATTTGTCATTTGCTATCAAATAGTAGTTGGGAAGCTGTGTTTATGTTGGACGATGGCTTTACTGTTTACGACTTTTGGGGATGATGCACTTGCGAGTGTTGAGTGTTTGTTTGTCGCTGATTGAATGATGGAGTAGCGATAATCTCTCGCTACAGATTATCAAAATCTGTAGCGACAGAAAGAGCTGTCCTTTTTCTGTCGGCTTCTTGTCGCCGTTTTTGGTGTCGGTTTTTTTAGCATCTGTCAGTCATTTTTCGGATTTCATATCTTTATTAATCTCTGTCAGTCAATTTTCGTCTCTGATAGTCTCTGTGTTAATTTTGTGTTTTTTTAACATATTAATCGTGTTTTAATGCATTGATTTTGTTTTTTTCATATTTCCCTATTACTCAATATATTTTGAGTATTTCTAGTCTATAAATAATCCTGGAATATGCTGTGGATTTCTGAGAGAGGGAATTATCAAGTAAAAGTGCCAAGCCATTACGACTATATAGTACTAGGAATGGGTCAGGATAAGGATTAGGGATGGGACGGGGGGGGGGAAAGAAATGGTGCCCAAGCACTTGGACGATCGGGGGATTGAACGCCGACCTGCATGAAGCGAGACCGTCGTTCTATCAACGGATTGCTAAACAGTTAACAATTTTTATCCACCCATCTCTGTCAAGGGGCTCCAACCCTGTTATATTATGACTTGAAGAAATGCGAGGAAAAGGCAAGAGATGTCAGACGCAGCAAGGTTGGGCAAATTGCATATTTTCGGACTGTCAGAAAGTCTTTGACACTGTGCCTCGTATGAGACACAGACTGAGGAAGTGAACGAAAGTGACAAGAACATTTAATTTGCTTAGAGAGTACTTAATTACCACTTGGCGCAGTGGTAACACTTTCGCCCCACGCTTCTTGAGCGATTTGACCTTGGTTCGTTTCCTGGTAGAAGAGGATTGACTAGGCTCCAGTCTTTAAATTTACGCCTCTGTTCACCCAGAAGTGATTGGGTACCTGGTTGTTAAACGATTGGCGGATCGTGTTCCAGGGGAAACTAGTGGGTAAGGCTTACCATCTTGAGGTTATCTTGAGATGATTTCGGGGCTTTAGTGTCCCCGCGGCCCGGTCCTCGACCAGGCCTCCACCCCCAGGAAGCAGCCCGTGACAGCTGACTATCACCCAGGTACCTATTTTACTGCTAGGTAACAGGGGCATAGGGTGAAAGAAACTCTGCCCATGGTTTCTCGCCGGCGCCTGGGATCGAACCCGGGACCACAGGATCACAAGTCCAGTGTGCTGTCCGCTCGGCCGACCATGAGCTAAGGGACGGAGAGCTCTCAACCTGATAACAGGAAGCAGCAGTCGTCTGTTCCTGTACCCACTTGTATAAAAAAAATACATTCATAGTCAGGCAAGATGTATCAGAATACAGAACCATTATAAAATTAATACAATATTATACAAGATTTATGTGACCAATCTTCAGAAGTCGTTTATCATTTGTGTTTGTTGAAACAAGATTCACGAAGACGGATTTAGAAGGAATTTAGAAGGATTTAGAAGAATTTAGAGATGGATAATGAAGTCCAAAGATTCACTAGGAGATAACATCACACCGAACCTGCACCCTGAAGCAGATAACAGCAGTTAACAATTATAGTCAGCAGCAGATAACAACAGTTACCAGTTAACTTCCAGAAAAGACTGTTTTAAAATGCTTATGAAGAAATCTAAAGTAAATTGTGAAAGTACAGGTTGGCTATTGGAACATCCCTAAGCCAGGTAATCAGTAACAGCGAAACAAGGTAGTTCAGAGTACAATGATCACCTGCATTGTGCAATAAAGATCAATATTATGAACTATCGTATTGCTGACATGAACGACCTGAAGAAGGAAATTGACCCGTTTATAAACCGGTCTTCGGAGAGTCTGAAGCCGATAAGAAGATCGAAGATTGGAAGATCTGGAGGAGGAGGAGATAAACAAAGGGATGTAGAGGAAATAAAGAGAAATAAGTGCATAAATTCCTACGAAAATATATTGAAGCAACAGGAATAGGAGCAGGGAGACTCAGGGTGACTCAGGGTGACTCAGGGTGACTCAGGGTGACTCAGGGTGACTCATGGTGACTCAGGGAGACTCAGGGTGACTCAGGGTGACTCAGAGTGACTCAGAGTGACTCAGGGTGACTCAGGGTGACTCAGGGTGACTCAGGGAGACTCAGGGTGACTCAGGGTGACTCAGAGTGACTCAGAGTGACTCAGGGTGACTCAGGGTGACTCAGGGTGACTCAGGGATACTCAGGGTGACTCAGGGAGACTCAGGGTGACTCAGGGTGACTTAGGGTGACTCAGAGTGACTCAGGGTGACTCAGGGAGACTCAGGGTGACTCAGGGTGACTCAGGGTGACTCAGGGTGACTCAGGGAGACTCAGGGAGACTCAGGGTGACTTAGGGTGACTCAGAGTGACTCAGGGAGACTCAGGGAGACTCAGGGTGACTCAGGATGACTCCAGAAGCAATATAATATGAAGGATATTTAACTTCTGCTCTGGAAAAGAATAGAGAGAAAGAGAGAGAACACGAAGTTGACATAACTCAAAGCTGACACGGAAAGTTCACATTAGCAGAATATCGCCTGCATAGTACGACTAAAAATGACCGGAGAGCTGCTAGAAGCCTAGGAAATGGAATTATCAGGGGAAAGCGCCAATCCATTACGACTATATGGCACTTAGAAGGGATCAGGATAAGGATTTGGGATGGGACGGTGGGCAAGGATAAAGGATCTTTCAGAATTTAATCTCCAGCATATACGAGACTCAATTCTTAAGTGGAAACTTCATATGAAGAATAGAGAATGATCATTAGTGAAATGAAGAACTTAAATTTGTCTCAGAGGAGAAAATTAAGTGCATGGGGGAGACATGATAATGACGTAGTAAATTGTTCGTTGTTCCACCACCCTTTCCTTACATAACAGCCCCCTCCCCCTTCACTACACCCCCATGATTTCCCCATACCCCCTCTCCCTTCACTACACCCCCATGATTTCCCCATACCCCCTCCCCCTTCACTACACCCCCATGATTTCCCCATACCCCCCTCCCCCCCTCCACCACCCCTCCAGCAAAAGTTTGAAAAATGTTAAATGAATTTAATCAAAATTGCTTCATTAAACGATAATATTAGTGACATTTACCTGAAGAGAATGACTCTCCATGTGTGTAAATTGAGGATTTAATTGTAATTCTGAATTGTGTAAATGATTTAGTGTATAATAGGTATAATTTTTCGGGAATTTATGGTCCTAGGGTATGATAAAACAAATTTGTTGCGAATATATTATTTTGAGTCTATAAATGAATCGTTTGTCATAGTCAGTGTGGTATAATCTGCCATATTGTTATTAGATCAGTGATGAACTTTGACCTCATTATGTACTTACTTTCTACATACAATTATTCCTGATTTATTAAGGTCATGCTTCCCCCCTTTCTCTCCATCACACTATATCACTCTCTCTCTTTTTCTCTAAAACATATTCACTCAAATACATACATTATTAGTTATTAAAACATTCACATGAACAACTTATCTTGAATACAGACACTTCAGTGCCATTGTATAGATTTAAATAACACTTATGCCATTTAAAAGGCTCTGAACACTTGTATTGCTTCTGAATGCACTTGGGAGGATTTGTTTAGGGTCTATGATTATCCCTGAATTAAAAATTGCACTTAAGTCAAACGAGATGCTCTTCAGTGGGTCTGATAAACCTAGGTTAGTGTTTGTATGTGGGTTTAGTGCTGTTAATGTTCTAAGTACACTGATCCTGCCTATTGGACATTGAACTTGCTCGTTGGACACTGACTCTGTCATCAGACACTCTGCCATACTACACCCTGCCACCATCAGACATCCTGCCATCACACACCCTGCCATCAGACACCCTGCCATCAGACACCCTGCCACCATCAGACACCCTGCCATCAGACACCCTGCCATCAGACACCCTGCCATCAGACACCCTGCCACCATCACACACCCTGCCACCATCAGACACCCTGCCATTACACACCCTGCCACCATCACACACCCTGCCATCACACACCCTGCCATCAGACACCCTGCCACCATCAGACACCCTGCCGTCAGACACCCTGCCATCAGACACCCTGCCATCAGACACCCTGCCACCATCACACACCCTGCCATCACACACCCTTCCACCATCAGACACCCTGCCACCATCACACACCCTGCCACCATCAGACACCCTGCCATTACACACCCTGCCACCATCACACACCCTGCCATCACACACTGCGGAAAACACGGATGATCACGACTGATGCGGACCTCACATGCAACAAATCACATTTACCCCAAAATATACACATTTTTACACAAATTGAAGATGGGGAGAAGTATTAATATTTCTTGCTTATAAACGCAACTTATCTCCAATATGGTGGTGAGTATATTTTGAGATTATGGAAAACTGAGCCTTTTATTTGCCACTTGAATGAAAGGGAACCAGATGAGAAAGGCTTCTGAAACTAGATATTAGAAACCGGTTTTCTATCCTCTCTTTCTTCTTGCTCCTATCTTCACTCTTTTATCTTCCTCTCCATCCCCCTCTCACCCTAATAACACATTATTCCCTCTTCTGCTCAGCCACCACCCCCCCCCCTGGAATCACGTGACCTAATAATGACCCTAAATTGCGATAAATGTCAGGAATAAGATGTTTTCATGACCTTGACCTTCCTTCTCACCCCCAATCTCCCCTCTCACTCCCCCTCTCTCTTCCCCCTCCCCTCTCACTCCCCCTCTCTCTTCCCCCTCCCCTCTCACTCCCCTCTCTCTTCCCCCTCCTCCTTACTGCCTCCTCATCTTCCCTCTATATTTTTCCTCGCGATAAAATCTATATTTAGATGGAATAGATATGAAGGTTTATATGTGTGTGTGTGTGTGTGTGTGTGTGTGTGTGTGTGTGTGTGTGTGTGTGTGTGTGTGTGTGTGTGTGTGTTCGCTCACCTAGTTGTGCTTGCGGGGGTTGAGCTTTGGTTCTTTGGTCCCGCCTCTCAACTGTCAATCATCTGGTGTAAATCCTGAATATGAGTGTATGTAAATAATGTAAAATTTACTACTCATGTAAAAATAGGTAAAATTTTGGGACTCTTAGTCGGAGAATGGTGACTAGAACTTTACATGAGAGGGTATAAACTGTGCTTAGTGATGGGTTGTAATAGTGAAGAAATGTGTGATGGTTATCTGGGGTCAGTGAGAGTTGAACAAAAAAGTGTTTTGTGACAATGGGGACAACTTATGTGATTGTGAGTTTGTATATGGGGGTAAGAGTTTAGGAATTGTCTCATGGATGGGGAATGGTGAGGGATTGTGTGGCGGAGGTGATGGTAGGTGAGGAGATGGTTAAAGATATCTTGGTGATGAGGTAAGAATGGAGTAGTATGGGTGGTAATTGTATGGCTAGGGCAGTTTCTCATGTATATATGGAAATAGATGAGAAACAGAAGTTTGACTTGGGTGATGTCGAAGAACAAGGATTATTATGAGTGATGGGGAGAATGGATGGTGAGAATTAGCAGGAAATAGAATGGGGAGAGATGGTAGTGATGGTGAGCATGTAATGGGATTGGATGGTGATAAAGATTCACAAGCAACAGTCGTTCAGGTAGGCAGACAAACACACACACAGAAAAACAAACAACCAATCACGTAAGCAAACAAAACGGAAGAAAATCAACTAGCAATTTCGCACTGGAAAACAAATCTCTGCATTTCTTGAGGCAAAACAGAAACACTTCGATGGTTTTACAGGAGATTAAACCTCTTTAAACCCACCGAGACAATAGGATCGCAGGGACTAAATTGGTGTTAGGAGACGCAGGTTCAGATCCCAAATGGCCCACAGGTGGTTAGAGTTCTCTGTCTGGTAGTTGGTACCTGTGGTATAGTCTGATCCGCTGTTTTTTTTTTTTTTGCACTCGCGTGTGTTTGTGTTAATTTTGATTTGAGAACTAAGTAGTGTGTGTGTGTGTGTGTGTGTGTGTGTGTGTGTGTGTGTGTGTGTGTGTGTGTGTGTGTGTGTACTCACCTATTTGTGCTTGCGGGGGTTGAGTTTTGGCTCTTTGGTCCCGCCTCTCAACTGTCAACCAACTGGTGTACAGACTCCTGAATCTCTGTGTGTGTGTGTGTGTGTATGTGTGTGTGTGTGTGTGTGTGTGTGTATGTGTTGACCTGACGTGGAATTAAGGAAAGAACGAAAGAAAAAGATAGAGGGAAGAAGGATGAAACGAGAAGGAAAAAACAGGACCACGTAAAGGAAAATAATAAAAAAATTAAATAACGAATGAACGAAGAAATAATGGAATGAAAAGATAAAGAAAAAACCAATAGATTGAAAATAATTTTAAATAATAAAAAGCAACACTTTACATGTATAAAAAATATATAATAATCATACTAAGTATCAAAATAGTTCAAAAAATTAACAAAATTCCAATGTGAAAAAACCAATAATAATAAAATTAACTTTAAAATAACATTTATTTTAAATTAAAACTAGAAATAATAATTTAAAATAACAATAATTAACAAAAACAGCATTAATAATTAAATTAAAACATCAGAAAATCAAAACAAAATAGTGTTAAATCCTAGGATATATAGCGAATAGAGAAGAAAGGAAATAAGAGTCTTCTAATAGCACATTATTGGAACCTGACTCGTCTGAATGGCGCCAGAAATGTGGTCACAAACGCCAGTTGGTGCTCACCTTTGACGCAGACAGGTTGGCGCTGTGTCATTCTATTCCAGGTAACACGAAATGGGAGAAGGGTTAGGGGAGAAAGGGGAAGAGTATAGCTATTTCTAGCACAAGGGAAGAGGCAGCAGGAGAGAGGGCTAAGGTAGAGAAATAACATGCTATAAAGGAGAAACACTGAAATATAGATATATGATATATAGAAATATCTTATTAGATATTTTTAATAAGATGTTTCTAATAATATTTTTAGTTATTAACGCGTTCAGGCGTCGCGTCAGACTAGAAATGCAAAATGAATTTTGGAGAATTGATTTTTCAATTACCATCGACAGTGAAAAGAAACATAAGAAATATTGAGAAAATTCGTGTTAGAATTATTAATCTTACCTTTTCGGTCATATTTAACAACTGATATATAGAAATATAGATATATGATATATAGCAGAATAGTAGTAATAGTAGTAGAAGTAGAAGATATTAGTAGTAGTAGTAGGGTTCTAATACTTATATCTACCGCAGTAGATAAGTTAGGTAAAACTGATGCATTTTTGGCGGAGTGGCAAATCGAGACTCCCACTGTATGCTAAAATATGGCATTTACAACTCAAGACGGTCAGCCAATAATATCGTCACCTTATCTATTGCTCATAACGTGTCCTGAAGATAAATAATTGTTATCTCTTAACTCATTACATACTATACTGATTTGTTGAGCGAGGCATTAAAGAGTGTAGATGGAAGATCACAGATCTATACGAGTAGAGTTGATGTAAATGTCAGTGATATAGCCAGAGAGAGAGAGAGAGAGAGAGAGAGAAGATACGCAGATAGACAGACAGAGCGACAGAAAGTAGATAGATTTACACACACATAACCCACTCATCTTCATCTTTAACTACCACTCCAGCAGTGTCTCAGAATCTCACAGTGGTCACTGGTCTGAGAGGAAGCAGCTTAGCCTGCCTTGGTTCCAAGCTCCATAAAGCTCCATTATCAGGAGAAATTATAATGGGGTAATTTGTAAGTAATTATATTATATGGTTTGGCTGTTATCGCAAGTTTCAGGAAGCGGTTTAATGGGCCACTTTAATGGTTGAGGATTTACAGAGGTGGGAGATGATAGCAGCGAGTTCTGTCTATTTTATATAATGGTTATCTGTCTATTATATGTGATTGGTGTCTCTGTTATATGATATATGCCTGTTTATTCGTATGTAATAATGTCTATTGATCTATTGAACTGTTTCTATGTGATGTGTCAATACTCTCTCTCTCTCTCTCTCTCTCTCTCTCTCTCTCTCTCTCTCTCTCTCTCTCTCTCTCTCTCTCTCTCTCTCTCTCTCTCTCTCTCTCTCTCTCTCTCTCTCTCTCTCTCTCTCTCCCTTGTCAATATGTCCATTTAACTCTCTCGACATGTAATATATTCACTTTAAACATTACTTGCGTCTATTCTGCCATTTTTTTATTTACTTAAAAGTCCTCGTGTGTTTTTCTAAAGGCTTCACACTTAATAGTGAACCAGAGACTGCTTCACTTGACGCAGAATTAAACGTTATTAATAGCAATTTGTTAAATTTTAGGGCCACATTTCGTTCAACGAATGTGTGATGTCCTTTGAAGTGAGGCTCATTTTATTTAGGTATGTTGTTTCAACGCTGTTGGGTCGTTAAACGTCGTTAGGTGTTTAGAAAAGTTGGGTGTTTGAACACCATTAAGGAACCAAACGCCAGAGGGAATCCAGCATCTACAGGGATCTTGAACCTGTTCACCTGGTGATGGACTTCAGAAAACTGGATTATCTATTTATAGTAAATATTTTCATTTCATCAGGTGTTAGAAAGTGATAATATTGACAGATTTGTCTCTTCAAGTTGTGTTTTACCTGCGTTTAAATGTAATGATAATCTCTCATAGAGATATAGATTTTTTTTAATTTAAGAATCTCATATATTCGCTAAAGAATCTTTAATATTCATAAAAAATTCAACGTTTATTAAAAAATCGGTAAAACTCACTAACAATCTTTCAAATTCATTAAAAATTCTTCAAATTTATTAAAAATTCTTCAAATTCATTAAAAAAAATCAACATTCATTCAAAAATCTTCAACATTCATTTCAAAATCGACAACATTCATTAAAAAAAAAATCTTCAATAGTCGTTAAAACATCTCTAATATTCGTTCTAAAAGTCTTTGTAATTACGAAGAAAAACCTTTTTTTCATGAAATTTTATCAAGCGCCGGGCGTAGTGATAACCGGTCAATAGAAGGCAGTTCAGATAATTACTGGCAAGTTGTTCTAAGGTCTGACCAGTGATTACGTCTTACAGATGAGTGATGGTAATATGGAGGAGCCAATTGGAGCCTTAACACTCTTCCAAACGACCAGTGAGATCACTGAAACGGGCGCTTAAGCGGCTGTTATCCCTTACACCGTGAATTAGACTCCTCACTTAAGTCTGGAGTGGAATTTATGATGAATAGAATGATTTTACGCTAGAATTTCTTCCTCTTTCTTTCCATTTTTTT